ATAGCACTAAGCATGAGGGCCGAACAAGCACTGCTAGAGTGGATCCCCGTCAACAGTCGTCTATGTGCTGTTCGGCTGAACGGCTGCGTAAGAACTCGGAAGGATAGGGACACACGTCGTTGCCTTTTTGTCGTTTCTGTCTACGCTCCCACTGACTGCAGCTCAGATGAAGTGAAAGATGAATTTTACAGAAAGCTTTCTGAACTTCTTCAGAAAGCTAAACGCTCAGACATAGTACTCGTAGCAGGTGATTTTAATGCTCAGATAGGTAGCTTAAACCAAACAGAAAGGCATTTAGGTGGATATTTTAGTATTCCGACACAGCGAACAGATAATGGTGATCGTCTGCTGCAGCTATGCTCAGACAATCGTTTATTTTTAGCAAACACAAATTTTAAGCATAAGGAGAGACATTGTTTAACCTGGCGACCCCCTACACCAAACCAACGATGGACTCAAATAGACCATACTGCCATCAGTCATCGTTGGAGAGGGTCGGTAGAAGATTGTCGCTCATTCTGGAGTACCTGCTTGGACTCCGACCATGCCCTAATACGGGCACGCATCTGCTTGCGCCTCACTGGACGCAAAAAAGCCACATTAAAAAGACCCGTTAGAACTGAGTTGAGTAACGAGAAAACCAAAAGTAGGTTCCAGGAACAACTGAGGTCACACTTAGGTAGTTCTGAAAACGAGGCTGACCCAGATGTTGCTTGGAAGGGCATACAATCAGCTGTGGAAACAGCAGTGACATCTATTAGTGACTTAAACCACAGAGTTGCAAGGAACCAGTGGATTTCTTCAAGGTCTGTCACACTGATGGATTCTCGCAAAGTCGTCCCATCAGGTTCTGAACATGATGAAGAGCGAAAACAAATCAGATCTAGGTTAAGAAAAAGTCTAAGGAACGACCGTGAGCAGTGGTGGGTAACGAAAGCAAAAGAGATGGAAAAGGCGGCGACTATAGGAAACACAAGACAGCTTTACAGACTAATAAAAGAAACTGGAATTAATAAGTCAAGTGTAAGTGAGATTATTTCGGAAAAAGATAATACTCTCATCTGCTCCCAGTCCAGACGTTTAGAACGATGGGCGGAACATTTTAGAGAACAGTTCAGCTGGCCTTCAGCTACTCTACAACTACCCTCCATTCCCAGACAATGTGAATGGAACATTGAAGTAGGTCCCCCAACTCTTGCTGAAGTTCAAAAGGCTATAGTTAATCTGAAACGAGGAAGGGCAGCTGGTCCAGATGGATTGGCTCCAGAGGTCTTTAAGGATGGTGGTCCAATTTTAGCGATTAGGTTGACTAATATTTTAGCTAAGATCTGGGAATTAGACTTTATCCCATCTGACTGGTCGCAATCACTTATCGTCCCAATATATAAGAAAGGGTCAAAATCATCCTGTGACAACCACAGAGGGATTAGTTTAACAAACATAGTATCTAAAATACTGGCCTCGATAATTATCAGACGTCTAACTAAGACTCGTGAACTACAAACTCGAGAGAACCAAGCTGGCTTTAGACCTGGTCGTGGCTGCATCGACCACATATTCACCATTCGTCAGGTTCTAGAACACAGGCATACCTATCGGCGTCCGACGATGGTGGTCTTTCTTGACTTAAAAGCAGCGTTTGACTCTGTAGACCGCGAGACTCTGTGGCAGTGTCTGTCATTGAAAGGCGTACCTCAGAAGTACATAAACCTTGTGAAGGCTCTTTACTCGAACACTACTAGTCGAGTCAGGGCTTATGGCGAACTGTCATCTACTTTTGCAACTTCAAGTGGTGTCCGTCAAGGCTGTCCACTTTCTCCATTTTTGTTTAACTTCATCATTGACCTATTGATGGAAATAACACTCTCGTCGACTGAATTCTCGGGTATTGATCTCCTTCCAGGAGGTCCACTTATCGACTTAGAATACGCAGATGACATAGTCCTGTTTGGTGAAGACGCTGACAAAATGCAGAGTCTTCTGGTAGCACTAAGCAACAATGCCAGAATGTTTGGGATGCGCTTCTCTCCCTCTAAATGCAAGTTGTTGCTTCAGGACTGGTCTGCATCAACACCTAAACTAAGGATAGGGAGTGAAGTAGTCGAACGCGTTGACAACTTCACTTATCTTGGAAGTCTGATCAGCCCTAATGGGTTGGTGTCTGACGAAATCTCAGCACGGATTCGAAAAGCCCGTTTGGCTTTTGCCAACTTACGTCACCTTTGGCGGAGGCGAGATATCCGTCTATCAATAAAAGGACGAGTATACTGCGCGGCAGTCCGTTCTGTCTTACTTTACGGCAGCGAAACATGGCCTTTAAGAGTAGAAGACACCCGTAAGCTACAAGTATTTGACCACAGATGCCTTAGAAATATTGCTGGCATCTGCTGGGATCACCGGGTAAGTAATAGTGAGGTTAGACGCAGGGTATTAGGTAACGATGGTAAATCAGTTGATGAGGTTGTGAATCTTCATCGACTGAGATGGTTGGGCCACGTATTACGTATGCCTGAACACCGATTACCACGACGTGCAATGCTAACCGGTGTAGGGGATGGTTGGAAAAAAGTTAGGGGCGGCCAAACCAAAACGTGGCATCAGTGCTTGAAGTCACTAACTTCTAGTCTTAGCCATGTTGGTAGATGCAGACTACTTGGTTGGGGTCCGCGTGACTTTCGTAACCAATGGTTGGAGACTCTTGGTGACATGGCTCAGAATCGATCACAATGGCGTCGGTGTATACACTCCCTGTCTTCCCTTAAACTAAGAGATTAAAATCACTTCATATCTTTCTTTCTACGAACTAATTCTTCCTTCCTATACTATATCCTTATTGCAACCTTTGACCTAACCACTCCTATGAATCCGGTGTTCATCTTGTTGTGCTAATGAGGTATGGCAACCTGGACCGATGCACATATGTGCCTGGTCCTACGTTGTAGCTGACTGACTGACTGACTGACTGACTGACAGTGCTCAGGTTATGTTAGTGTATGAAATGAAACAGATAGAAATAAATAACTAAGCCTAGTTTTGCTCATTATAACCTTCAAACAACAGATTAATTTGTATTGGCTACGGACTTTCTATGAACCAGTCAATTCTGAGCATTTACACGTCTGAGATACACCATGTCTTCCGACGTAGAACATTTAATACCAGTTTCGTGCTAGCAGAATAATGTTATGTGATATTCTGGTCTAGTTTTTTAGAAGTAACACACCAGTTTTAAGTATTAAGAACGCATGAAATACTAATTTAGCCATTTTAATAAACAATATCTACCGAAGACCAATTGTCGTTAGATGGTTTACAGCACCATAACAGTAAATCTCAATCGCTAATATTTACATTAGACAAGGTTATATTTTGTACTAAGAATATTCTTAATTGATAAACGTTAATTGTATTTACGCTATAAATGGCCGTCAATATATCAGTGTTACTTTATTTACATATCCGAGGAAACAAGATCATACAATCTACTTAATTCGTGTTGCCAAATTAAATACAGGTTAAGAATACTCCAAGTCGAATCAAACCTTACATAACCTGATTTTTCTGAAGGGATTCAACGTTTCACAATTATTGAATGATAATTGACTTTCGAACCATGGAGATTACATTAGCTATTATAATTTTTCCAAAATTATTTTGTAATAAATTAAACCTTTCCTCAAGATGGCACAATAATTGAATAATACTAATCCATTTACACAGACATTTCGACTGAAACCTTACATAAAATGAATAGTATCTTTACAGGAAGAGAATAGTAACCTGTCGCGATTTCTATCGCAATGATAACTTTGAAATCACCGAAGTCGTACGACTGATAGAAAAATTACCACTAATGTTGGTCAGTTGTCAAACAATAGCTAAACATCCTTTCATTCATCAATCATAGGCGATGAAGAAATTGGCATAATCATAAGTTTGGGCTGTCACACCTCATTAGTACAGAAACATACTGATCACGATAAATATCATGGTAATATAAGTATCAATAACATTAGCGTTATTATTAGTGGTAGTAGTAGTAGTAGTAAAAATGATCAAGTGAAAGAAAAACTAACTAAACGGTACTATTTCTGTGTACAATCAAATGAATCCTTGGACCTTCTTTCATATACGTTAAGTTTTTGACTATATGTAATCCTACCTATATAAAATGTGTTAAAAATGGAATTGAAAAGAAAAATATGTTTATTCTTTACCCTTAATACTATAAGCATAACTCCCGACTAGATTCACTCAGCGCTTGTATTTTATTTAACTAAAACAATATTCAGATTTCCTCATCTGAACAAAAAGAAAACCGAAACCAACTTTACTTTGTACCACATAAGCCTTAAATGGATTGACATGGTTTATGTTAGAACATACTGATAATCTCTTACACTAGCTGGAAGCTGACTTGCCTTACACGGACTACATGAAGTTAGAACTCGTTTCAAAGTAATGTAGAAAGTGGGGTGCTGTTAAGAACCTATCAAATTGACTGTACATTTCTATTGATCGTTGTGAGACCTTACTACTGCACTTTTCAAAACGAATAAACTAGGATTATATGTATCTTGTTGGCAAGTAATTACTAACTTCCGCTAAAATGAATAATCTAATGTTGCCGAGCTTCGAGACATTTCGATTGCTTTCAAACCAAACAGACTACTACCGTGTATGGTGATACTGCATACGAAGCACGAAGTATTCAATGGATTTATCCAAACCTCCCGGCATTTACAGCTTTATAAGCTGATACTGTTACTACAAAGCTTAGATACATGAACCTCAACGTTTTAACGGGAAGAATCAATTTACAGTAGGTACTTTAACATAAACACAAACGAACCACACTTGAGTCGATAATCCATAACTAAGGAAAAGTGAAAAATTTTCTGATGCATTGTTTGTCAAGATTGATTACTTTGAATTCACGAAAAAACAGACATATTAATGGCAACTATATTTGTACCATAAACAAACACCTTGTGTCTTACCATTTGAACAACTGCAAACAAACAACCTTGAGTTGTGGCAGTGTTAGTGAAGAGAAACACTATGTCGAGAAAAACACAAGTAACTTAAGTAAATATTGGTGAAACTAAACTAGTGACATGTTTTGTGTACGTTTTGTTCGCTCATAAGATGCTTTGTCATTGAAGAACTCTTGAGCGCTATTTGAAAATCCCAATTGTTTATTACGCATCAAGACTAAATTTTTCAGCCTATTTTGATTCACTAAAAATGGCACCTGGAATATCATTGTTCATAAAGGACTACTTTGTCACTAGTACTTCTTCAGTGCATTTGTTATTTCAATTAATTTTTGCGCTGATTGAGACCTCTCACTTATATTTAGAAATGCAATCGACCAGCTTTTTGGCATATGAGCATCCAGTACGTGGTTTGTTTGTCGCACTTTGTGATCCAACGTTTTAGCTTTCATCTTTTAGTCGTCAAATTTTGTCTCTTTGTGTTTTCCTGTGTCTAAATTTTCTGAAAACCTGTTGTGGATATAAACTTAATAAACCTATTTCGTAAATAGTTTTTGATATCTTTCGCATTTATTTCGCCAATTCTCACAATCTGTACATTTATCATTATTCGATTGTACTTGTTTAGATATGTGACCTTGAACACTTACATCCTTCCGTTTTTTGAATCTCACATAGCATGACATTGTTAACTGCTCATAATTAGATACATTCTTATACATACGTCTCTCGTTTTATCATGTTTGTGGATATGATAACGGAAGGATTAATTAGCTATCATCTATATTTATAGACTTTCGTAACATTCACGTTACATTCTACGTTCGGATATACTACTGGGACATATCGTCTCATTGTAATTATTATTTACTTATAATTGTGGATTCTGGTACCAAATTCAACAGAACACATACCAACCTGCTGGTTTAAGTAACGTCCCTAAACTTTTATTAGTGTTATTATCTTATGAGTTGTTTATTGATACATTAACTTTTGGACGTTATAACTTTATTGCTGTTTTTCGGTTATTATACTTTTTTGGTCCGCCACAATTATTTGGTGAGCCTCGTATTTATTCTGACTGTTGTATTGTTTTATTTTACACGACACGCTGGTTCATTTTTCATGCAATGTGCTCCCCAACCAGACTTATTGATATGGACCCTCCTCCACTAACCACTTCAAGTGCAGTGTCAAACCCTACTAAAAACATTCTAAGCCCGGTTAGTACTATCTCTGAATTCAGACTCCCAACATACGTATCTAATAATCCCGGAGTCTGGTTTGCACAAATAAAAGCATTATTCATGTCCAGAGGCATACGCTTACAAGCAACAAAGTACGCGTATGTTGTCACTTCACTACCCATTGAGTTTGCTGCTGAGGTTGGGGACTTAACTGACCACGTGCTTGAGTCGGAACCATACGATAAGATAAAAGCGATGGTAATTCAACACGCTTCACTCTTAGAAGAAAAAAGACTTCAACAATTGTTAACGTCTTGCGACCTAGAAGACAAGAGACCCTCCCAATTTCTTCGACACATGAAACAAATTGCGGGCCCATACAATTCGGATGAAGCCCTCCTAAAACAAACCCGGTTTCAAGGATTACCACATAACGTTAGACAAATCCTTAGTATCTTGGGGAAATCAGTCACCCTAGATGACTTAGCCGACATGACGGACAAAATGATGGAAGCTTATCATGATAGTCACTACGCGAATTCTGTGCGACCACCTGGAGCAGCGGATATCAGTTGCTTAGCCTCTTTCCAAAGGCAGTTAACACAACTAACGAGTCAACTAGCGTCACTGCAGACGACAATAGCAACCATTCAAGCTAGACAACAAAGATTCTCTTCTAGACGGGGATCTTTATCTCGGCAGCGTTTACATTCTCCTAAACAAACCTCCGAATCTGCTGGTATCATAAGAAATACGGTACTAAAGCACGGCGTCGTACACGGCCGTGCACATTTCCTTCAACTGATATGGTGAATCAGGGAAACGGCCTGGCCAGACGGTGATGGCGGCGCCTGTTTCTGGCCACTATCCAAGCTGTCTTTTTCACATCAGGGATCGAATTCCTGGCTCAGACTTTTTAGTCGATACTAGCGCCGAAATCAGCGTCTTCCCACTACACCTCTCTCAACGACGGCACTCTGAATGTACTAAACTATCTCTCGTCGCGTCGAACAACACTGTCATTAGAACTTATGTAGAACAGCCATTAACCTTAGACTTCGGTCTCCGCAGAAGATTCACATGGATGTTTATCGTAGATGAAGTCAAACAACCCATTCTCGGAGCCGACTTCCTCAGTGCTCACAACCTACTAGTAGATATGGACAACAAGAAATTAATTTACAGGAACACGACTTTACAGGTCATCGGCATAATGACCTCCGGTTACCAAATTCATGGAGTTTGAATGATAAAACCTGCTGATATCATCTTAACCGACGTTTTGTCGAAATTTGAGTGCATCACCAGGGTGGGTTATCGAAACGAATGAATCACCCACCATGTACAACATCACACTGCTACCACAGGCCAGGTCAAGAAGACTGCCACCACCTAAGCTAACAGTTGCTAAGCGAGAATTCGTGCACATTATGCAGCTAGGCATTATTTGGCAGCCCATTGGCTTTCCCACTAGACGTGGTCCTCTGTGGAGACTACCACCGTTTAAACAACCTGACTATTCCGGATCGATACCCCATCCCTCACTTACACGACTCCTCTTTGACGCTACCTGGAAAACGGATATTTTCGAAGTTAAATCTAGTTCGAGCATATCATCAAATACCAATGGCACCTGAGGATATTGAGAAAACAGCTATAATCACAGATTTTGACTTGTTTGAATTCTTGAGGATTCCTTTTGGACTAAAATACGCTGCTCAAACCTTCCAGAGATTCATGGACTAAGTAACTAGAGGTTTGGATTTTGTATTTGTTCATGTCGACGATGTTTTAGTCGCTGGTACTTCCACTGAAGAACATGTTCAACACTTACACACACTTTTCGAACGTTTCATAAGTTATGGTGTGGTAATCAATCCTCTATATTCGGCATCTCACTTCTGTAATTCCTGGGACATCAAATTGATTCTCAAGGAATCAAACCTCTTGAAGAAAAAGTCAAAGTTTTAGTCAATTTTCCTGAGCCCAAGTTGATATAGGCATTTCACCGGTCCCTGAGGATGTACATCTTTTACCGACGTTTTCTCCCTAGCTGCGCAGCCATTTTGAAACCTTTGAGAGATTTACTGAAGACTGATAAAACCGCAGCTCAGACCAAAAAATAGAATACCTTCACGTTAACCTCCGAGTTCAGAGAACCTTTCGCTAAGGCGAAATTGATGATATCCAATGCTACTATGCCACAGCTCCTAAATACCGACCCCAGAAAACAACAGGAGCAGTATTACAACAGCGTTCTTTTCCGAACGATTATCGCCAAATCAAGAACGTTATAGGCTCCTCCAACATTGTCACAGACGCTCTATCTAGAAAGGATATCAAGATGATGGTACACAAGCACAACATTAGCCTCGAAGTTTAGCAAAACTTCGAATGAAGACGCAGATTTGGCGGCCTGCAAAGAGAAGTATAACTTGAATCTTAAACCTGTACCCATTCCTTTCTCAGATGCATCTATCATTTACGACACTTCAAAGGGCAATAATCGCCCTTTTTTCCCACGACCTTGTCGACGAAAAATATTTCAAGAGCTACATGGACTGTCGCATCCAGCCATCACAGCTACCACAAAGCTTATAAACGAATTTTTTGTTTGACCAAAAATCAAATAGGATGTTAAACATTGGACACGTGGCTGTTTACAGTGCCAACGCAGCAAGATCCAAAAACACACTATCAGCAAATCGGGGAATTTTCTGTTACCGACAAACGTTTTTAAACATATTCATTTAGACTTAGTTGGACCCCTGCAACCGTCAAATTCCTTCACTCACATTCTCACTGCGGTGGACAGGTTTACAAGATGGGCTACAGCATGCTCTCTCAAAGACACTTCTGCTGATACAGTAGCATCCGTTCTCCTTGACCGCTGGATATCGAACTATGGAGCACCTTCTATAATCACCACAGATCATGGTCCCAAATTACAATCCATTCTATTTCAGGAATTCACTAGACGTCTCCGGGTAAACCACATCGAAAAAACAGCTTATCACCCAGTAACTAAAGGCATGGTTGAAAGATTCCATCACCAACTGAAAAGCCCACTGAAGGCACAAGCTGACTCTTCAAAGTGGAGCGAGGCTTTGCCGCTCGTACGTTTTGGGATTCGTTCAATTATTAAGGGAGACATCGGATGCACTGCCGCCGAGTTAGTTTACGGCACAACTATTACAATAATAGGTCAATTAGTAGACTCAAACACATCAGTACCAACGGACCCAAGCCGTTTCGCTAGTCAACTACTGCAAACCATGCAAAGAATCAAAGCCATATCGCCGTGGGAACATAATAATTGAACGCAACTTGACAAAAATCTAGAAACATGCAAATTCGTCTTTGTCCGAGTTGATGCTGTTAAAAAGCCACTGAAACAACCCTACGACGGACCATATCAAGTAATTAAAAGAACAAACAAACACTTCATATTCAACAAGAGTGGAAAGAAGAAGTAGACGATCGCTACTAATAGAATAAAACCTGATTTCTACAACGCTGAACTAGATAAAGATAGCACGACCCTTAATCAACCCATCCGACCAATCACTACTAGAGCAAGGGGGATGATAAACTGAGCACCAGACCTACTTGTTTAACACGGTCAGGCAGAACTGTAAAGAAACTCAAGCGCTATGTACATTTTGCTGAATGAAAAATAAAATAAAAACAAACGAATTTCGATGTACTACAGCAGTAAATTCATCCGATTTTTTCCTTTTCTTAGTGTACATAATTAATCACATTTTCCCACAATTACTCGTTTTGTCACAGTTTTTGTTTTAGAATAGAAAAAATTCA